TGTGTGAAAAAAAAAAATCTACCTGAATGATTAATGTTCAAAATAGTACTCGTAAATAATTTGAAAAAAAAATCCGACTTTTTGGACCGAACGGGACAACTGGGAGTAGCGGAAATCTCGATATATCAACGAAAGAAAGGATTGCTAGAAAATTCATTGCATCCTAGATGATAGTTAACGTCGAATAATCCCCTACCTATTTCGTGTCGCCATATTGTGATGATCCGTATTATGATCTTGAATTATTTGCCAAAAGAGTTACTACACATTTCCTTCTCGTTTCCGCGCTATTACTGAGAGGAAGACGTTTCAAATTGTTGGCTGGCTGCAATCGTATCTCCCGCCGGATTTCGATGGATCACAGTGTCTCGCTAGTCTTGTCGTTAAGTCTACTATCTTCGCGACGAACACGTCTTTGGGATTTGGGCGAGGCTCTTGACACTTTTAACGCATTCGAAGTAACTACGAGACTTGTCCGTTTAAATTTTCGAATTCTTGCACGTAATAGACGTTTCTTGGCTTGACACTACACGTTTACGGAACACGACGTCAGATGGCGAGGGTACAAGGGGAATTCGTGGCAGCACCGTGCAACATTTTACCTCCCTCGTTGGCCGCCAGCCAACGCTCCGATCAACTTAAACGATGATTCAATTTGCAGATTCACACATTTATATTATTAAAATAACAGATCGAATTCTTTTGTAACAGACACTAATAATATATTATCTTTTTTCATCTTTTCTCATACATGTTCAGAACGTCTACTTCTTTCCGCTCTTCTCATGGGAATGGACTAACGGAAAATGTATGAATAAATTGGGTGAAGTAAGAAACAGGTAAATTTATCAATTCATCTAATACAATACGGTATATTTAGGCACACACGGAATATTGCTTCACTAGTCTTTGGAATTCTGACGTCTTCTGAGAGTATTCTTTGACAAACGGGTGTTCTGCATGTGATTCCTTCAACTGACTCAAATAACGGTTGGCAACTTCTGGTTGCTTTCCTAACTGATGAGACAGGACAACCATGTTGATCAAAGTAACCGGATTATTGCTGTCCTTCTCAAGGGAGTCCTGCAAGACGGTTTCAGCTTCTTCGTATTTGCCTTGTCCAATGAAACAGGCAGCTTGTCCATTCAGCATCATAGTTGTACGAGAATATTTATCTGTCATTTCCTATAATGAAACAGAGAAATATCAGTAAAAGAAATAATCCCTGAAAAATACCTTGTCTAGGTAAACTATCTCCACATACCTGTAGTATATAATAAGCCTCGTGCAGTTTATCCGCACCAGTGGTAATATTTAACCACGCTTGAGCCAATTGGGTTACAATAGAATCTTCGTCTATTGCTTGCATAGTTTTCAACACTTCTTTCGCGAGGTCCACTCTGTACATTTTCAAATAGATTGCTAACTTCAATGACAGACATTCTAAATGCTCTGCATCCTTAAGTATCGTAAGTGCAGCGTCCAGATTGTTCTCATGGTAATGAATGGTAGCAGCAACGATTACAAGATTGTAATTATTGTAATCGATGTTATTAGTTGCCTCCTGTAGTTCTGCGAGTACAGCTTCTCTACGACTGGGGTTGGCAAAGTAATCCGCCAATGTTTTGAGAGGTTGAAGTTCTGCCGGTGATGAACTATTTATTTCATCCAGTACAACTCGGAAATTTCTCTGCGCTATATACGCGCGATAAAGGTACCCATCTCGTTCTACGGCCATTGCTGGCGTAGACGGCTGCAATAAAAAATCATATTTATTAACCGACCAGTTGAATCAGTGATGACAGATTCTCGTTGACGTGACAGAATCTGACAGAAACCGCAGTCATCGAATTCAACTATACATAAGAAGACAGATATTCAAAGTAATAATCAAATTATCGCGAACCTTCAGCTTCTGTGCTTCCTTGATGCATTCTTGATAATTGCCGATGAGAAAATTGTCTTTCACGCCAAAAAGCTGAGTTATCTTGTCCGCGGCCATATTGTGTTCTATATTGTATGCCACTTAACTCACGAATGCATCAATTCAAATATATGAATTTTTTCAACAATTCTGAGCTATTGCTAAATTAATTAATCAGTCGTCAGAAATGGATAAAATTAATTTTCAAACGATCATAATTTATTTTGTTGCTTTATATGTCATTTAACGAACACATGGTACATACACGTGGACCAATGTGAACTTGTGCTAGAAGCTACGTATACAACCGAATAGAAACATAAAAAAAATTAAAAACGACGATTAAACATTAGTTTATTTAGTCTTTCTGAATAAACATTACTCGAATAACTCTTAATCATAGATTGTCCGAATAACATTTTGTTTGGTTCATATCAACGGCATGCTACCCACGTGGCGCCATCTATGAGCAGACAGAGACCCCCATAAAATTTCGACGTCATGTAAACACTTACTTGTGACATTGCCAAATCTGTTTATACTGGCAAATCCAATTGCTAGTCGGTCATGTCTTCCTATTTTTTTTCATTCTTACAATTATACATGGGAAACCTATAGCTATTCTTTTCTATTGCCATCACTCGTACCTGAAAGTATATTCGGGCCAATAATTGCGTACATTAAAAGTTAACCCTTTGCGTCAAAATTGTAAAATTTCGTATTTAACATTAAGTCTAGAATAATCTGTTGATAAAATACCATTGTTCCCCTTATTTTGTGCATAGATTCTTCGTTAAATTAATTAAAAAAAATATCTATATCTTATAAAAATAAATCGAATATTCCAGTGACAAATTTTTGGAGTACAAAGGGTTAAATCTCTGAATTTCACTACTCGAAATTTTTAGACTCTAAATCTGACGTCCTTTTGGTATTTTAATTACGTCAACAATTCTTTTTTTATGGGGCTGCATTTTAATTCGAGGAGAAAAATTCTATGGATAAACATGGGAAAATTCTCTCGATTACGCCGAAGGTAATCCCCGCGTCGGTACACGGAAAGGGATCGGACGTGAGAAGATCGAGTTATATTCGTTGATGGTTGAAACATTTTATTTATACCTGCACTCGTGGATTATCACATATTTCCTAATTTTAACCATGAAAATACGGCTCTCTCTCGGGATCGCAACAAAGATCGTGGTCGCTTCCGCGCACAGCTCTGTACGCTCCACGCGCGACGATCATAAATGTTTATAAAAAAATATCGACCCGAGAGTTTTCGACTCTCTCCAACTCGCTGTACAATCTTCGGCAAGGAGGTATACTTTTCACTGCGTGCCATCTTTCACGCGACACGGCGGCGGACAAGATAGTTGCATCACGGTCGTCGTGATAAATTACATACATATATATATATATATATACATACATATACATATACATTTACATG